GAATAATATCTACGATTTCTCGACATGAATCTATCACTAAATATAATTTCGATAAATAAAATTTGTTTAATAACATAAAAGTGGCGACAATAAACTCTACTCGTAAATAGACAGTTATAACGTTACACTTTGAAGTGATTATAATTTATTCTTATATTTAAACCAAAATCCATATCTCAACGTATTTGTATAAATTATAATAACTAACAATACCAAACGATGTCAACCATTCGATTTGTAATTATGTGTATTATAATAAAATTAAATATTGCTCAATACAGTGCAATTCATTTCTTCGAATGTATTTGATTATATTATCGACATTCTTCTGTAATAATAGAATCAAGTTTATTCATAAATTATTGCATAAATTATAAGAAGAGCGAGCTCCTTTAGCTCATTTATAATTTACTTACTTACAATTAAATAATATTTTCATAATTGCGAAATGTTCTTTTATTATCAGTTGGCTTGAATTTTTGATATTTTCAAGTCCTGATAAATAATTATATAATTCTATTGGAACATTTTCTAATTAAGATTTATGTATCGATTCTAAAACAAACTTACGAAATCCTTGGCATCCGTTAAATTAAATTAATTATTTTACACTGAATGTAAAAGCATTTTCTTTTAAAATAATTAAAGACTCATACTTCTTTAATAATATTAAAATTTTTAAGATTGTAAGAACAAAATGTATAAAGGTAATAAAATTGACGAGCAAATTTTTTCTAAATTTCTTATAATCTTATACTTTCAACGATCTTTTTTTTGTTTTTAAATTGAATTTAACGATGATTAATTTTTATATTACTTGTTGTATTAATCGTCTATGTGTATTATTATAAAAAAAAAAAAAAAAAACAATTAATAAATGAAATAAAATAAGCAATTATAGACTGTCAGCTGATAAGCTTGGAAATGCAAAGAGCATATAAAGTTGTATTATAATTATGTAAATGATTTGCTTTTTGTTCATTCGTTTATGTCTTTAAAGACTAGAAGAAGAAAAAAATTGCAGGCACTACATTTTCGATTCGCATTGAATTGCAAAAATAATACAAATTAAAATAAGCTATAAAATAAATAATACAAAATAAGCTAATAAATAAATCTTATGCAATTATATATTTTTTAAATCTAAACTTTAAAGTATTTAAAGTTATTATATACCACTACAATAAACATAACGTAATAATGCATATCGAATAAATAATTAAATGCTATTTGTTTGTTACAATCAATTCGCATAAAAGTATTAAATTGAACATTACTACGATTGATACAACAAAAAAATAAAAAAAAAAAAAAATAAAAAAAAAATGGAAAGAAAAAAAATAAATTAAATTCCATGAAAATCTTCTAACGATAGTTCATAAAATATGTGCGTATCACATAGTAAATGGCCTGTATTATAAATTATTTATTTAATTAGTGGCACAGTAATAATAAGGTTTTATTGATATAGAAACATATCAATAGCGATGATCTATAATAATTACTTTTTACAATCATTTTTTTATGCAAATATTTTTATAGTAAATTTTGTGCTAAAACGCGCGAAGTGCACTTGCCAATGTAAACTATATAACAATGAATTGGAAATGAGAATAGTGACGATGAAAAAGAAGACAGAATAAATTTAAACGTACGAATGAGCGATTAAACGGAAATATTTTAACGGAATAGCGAATGACATTCGAGATTATTAGCAGTGCGCACACTAAATTAATTACTGAAATTAATTAACATTATCATAATATCAAGAATTTGTTCGAAAATTCAAATTAATATGTATGGGAATGGAAAGTAGAGTTTTATCTACAATTATCGCGATCTAATGCCATGAAAGTAAAGCACCGTCGTTCCGTTTTCAACATCCTCGGAGTATTGTAGGACAATTTTCGTAAATCATTGCCCAAACGGCTAGTGTGATACGAAAGAAAAAGTCGACGATTCCCTTCACAATTTCGCACACATCTCGCAGCCATTTAATTAGCCATTATAGGCATGCCTATTTAAAGCTTAATGCAAACTCAAAAGTTCAGTCGTATTATGCTCTGGCTACCCTTAACTTAATTAATCATAAATGATCTCCCAAGCGAGCGAATATCCAAAAGACCATTGAAGCGACAATGGAACAGCGAGTGAGATCTCACAGACACGCGCGGTGCGCGCACAAAGCAACTTATTTAGGTAATTCCCCAGCTCATTCCGTAACGCGCCTGCGCACCTATGATGACATTATAATACTCGCCTCTCTTTCGATCCTATATCTCCTTCATACTCCCGTGCTGATGCGAGTGCATTGCGGAGTCCTCCCGATGATGACGAGCGTACATATTAAGCATAAGATAATTATATCGATTTCCACGTGTAAAGTCGTGGGGCCCCGGTGGAATTAGTCGCTGGGCGAATTATCGAGAGGCGTTGAGTTGGCGAGGTGGGAGGTGGGAGTGGATGGACGAGGATGCGCAGTCGGTACATACACAACGGGAAAGGAGCGACTGGCGGACCAAGATTAGCGACAATTCGGATTTCTTATGTTGGCGGGTGAGCACGGAAACGAGTGCCTCTTGCGCAATATCACTTGGCGAGATGTGGCTTTATTGCGGTAGATGCTCTCCCTCTTGTGGTAGATGTCGACCGACGCTTTCATGGTCCTTGCATGCTTCGGTGCGACCTACTTTTCCACTATTCTTACCAGAAATTATTGTTACTAGCTTTCATGATTCTTTATTTATTCGACCTTTCGTGTAAAATCGACGCTACTCGACCTGCTCCTGCCTATTTCGTCATATTATTTTGGCCGTTGAAAGAATGTCTTGTTATTTTTGTCATTCTTATGGAGACGTCGCGAGAATTTTGTATGAAATACGATTGATTGCCATAGCGATGATAGTTATAGATTAATCCTGAATCCCAATATCCTGGAGATCCTGGCTTAAATGGCTATGTTATTTTTAATTTACAAATAAGGCTTTGCTCGCTCTGGGAAAGTCTATAGAATTTTATAATTTTTTAAAAATATTTTTCTCCATAATGGCCGATTCTTTAGATTTAGAGAAATATACATCGTAATAATATACTCCTTTTAATGTAATCCTAATTCGATAGAAAATTTCAATCGTCTTATTAAAAAGCAATTACTCCACGCACTCGTATATTTTATAAATCTGTCTAATAAATACAATAAACATTCTCGCGTATAAATATTCAACAACGTACAAAGATAATATTTCTTACATTTGAAATATATATATCTATATATATATGTAATAAATGTATTTATTTACGTGCCTATGCATTTGTCTAGATAAATTGCAAACATCGAGCAAATTATGCAATTACGTACTCTTGATTGTTAAACACTAAACCTTACGGTAATAGCGAGACTCATATATTAGGCACTAACACCTCCATGCTGAATTTGAAATATTAACTTAATCTACCCTTATATCTGAGAATTCTGACAAGAGTTTATTTCATTGTTTACTCGCTTGCTTATATTCCTCTATGTATGCATATATATATATATATATATATATATATATATATATATATATATATATGACTTAAGAATTTCTTATTTAAGTATTACCTGGCTTCTAGCGCAAATCAGCTTACGATCAGCGAGAAGAATGCTTCTCTTAAAATGCCCAGGGATTTGTGCAGGACATTTACTGTTGCGTATTTATTTTCCTATCGCAAAAGAATAATTACTAAATCGGAGACTCTTCTTTCTGCTTGCCACGCGCATGTTCTAGCCTATCCCGTGTATTGTGTATGCTTGCGGCTTTCTTTTTAAGAATGCATTCATCGCACCTATAATGGTGACATTGTTTCATCCGTAAAAGGATTTATAATTTCATATTATTGGCAATCCCATCCAATTTCGAAAATTCAGCGATATTACTTATGCTTTGGAATAAATTTGAATGTTTCGCGAGTTCTTTTGTCGTTTTTGTTGCTGTTGTTGTTGTTGTTGTTGTTGTTGTTGTTGTTTTTCTTTTTAAATAATCCAACAATTGGTGAGTTTTTTGTTTTCAATTTATGTTTATTGGATACAAAGAGTTTTTATACTATATACTGTACAAATAATGGCGTTCTAAGGTCATTTCAAATATTACTCGTTTGTCAATGCACAAAGATGGATATATTCATTATCATTAAAATTTATCCTACACGTTTATTCTTACAATAATGATTGAGAAGGAGTGTAATAGGACGTGTGTGTTTAGGTTGAAGTAATTCGGGCTACAGAATCGAATGGCACATGACTTGTAGAGGTTTTTTTTTCTTTCTTTATTTCGCGTATAAAATATACATAATGGCATCCTTCTTAGGAGTCAAAAACCATTGTTATAAAAAATTACACATTACGCAGAATTATCAAAGTAATATTATAAAGTGGCGAATTTTCAATACAGGAGTCTTGGATAAAAAAAAAAAAAAAAAAGAAGAATGAGCGAAAGCACATTCGTTTTCGACGTATTGCTAATATCAAAATTACTACATTATATACAATTCTTTCAAAAAGTATAGTCCGACATCGTAGGGATATTGCATTGCACTAATAAATTATAATCTTGACGGTAACTTTTGCTTGGTAACTTCATTTTTATTAGAACAGAATAAATAAATATGCATTAGTAATACTCATAGGCAATCTAGAGAATAGAAAATTCAATATTTATTTTTATAAGTCAAACAAACGATCCTTTAACGTTCCTTAAGCAATTTCGTAACTTGGTACTTGGTAATTTTTTACACTCGAGGCCGAAGATATAATTTACGACATTTACCAATCATTTCAAATAATTACAGTCACTAACGGTTCTGAATTTGTTTTGTTTTTTTTGGTTGTTTTTTTTTTTTTTGTTTTTTGTTTTCTCGAAATCCAAGGAATAACACGTTTCTCAATGTTTAATAATCTCATATTATAAACCCATTGCTCGACAGAAGCATTAATGTACAATAATTTGCCTTTTTTTTGTATTCTTATAAATGTAGATGCATAACATGTGAATCTTATGTCACTTAAATTAATAGGTAAGAGAATGCTTGTATTTACAGTTATATTTTTGCACTGAAAACAGCATTGAGCTGGTTTGGAGCAATAGCTATTTCAAAAATAATTTCGATTAACCTGTACGCGGCGGCAGATATTCACGATCGGGTTTTGCGGGATTTTGAGCTGTTTCCGGTCTCCTGCCAGGAAAACTGCTCGGGAACGTAGATTCGGGAGGGAAGCTTGGACCTCTTGGTTTGTCACTTGGATAACCTTGGCTACCACTACCTGGTTGCTGTAATGGACCTTGAGGTCTTTCACTTGGAAACGATGGTTGATGCGCGCTCGGATATTGACCGGGACTCTGTGATTCTTGATCCGCTTTGTATGTCCTATCGTTATCTAAACCTAATCCTACTGAACTTGGACGTACTTGATCTTTTGGCGCTCCATATTGATTATTATTATTGTCGGGATATCCTCCTGGTTGTGATGGCGACTTACCAAATGAATATCCATTGGAATCAGGCGACTGAGAATTAGGAAGGTTGGATACTTCAGAGCCTGCGGGGAATCTCGTTTGTCCGATAGGTTGTACCGATCCAGTGAATGCTCCAGGACTTTGAGGTTCCAATGGCCTTCCAGTTCCTTGAGATCCTTGTTGCGGCGTTTGAGGACCAAGCGGCGCTAATGGAATTTTCTGACCACGTGGTCCCTGTGACGTTTGTGATACACCTTCAGGGAATGGTATGGGTTGCTGTGGATTTCCCATTATCGTATAATCATAAATGTTTTCATTAAGGAAATAATAATCCGCGGCTGAACTGCAATCAAACTGATTCCACCAAACACAAACAAAATATTGTTGATTAAAAATCGTGCCATTTGGGCATAAGAAATCAAATGTTTGATTATTTATGCAAATATGGAAAGCTTGGCACTGTGTTTCGATGTCAGCGTAATAACCTGGAAATTGTTGCGCATCGCAGCTGAAACTTGTTTCTGGAATTTCTGAATAAATTGGGTAATCCTGTCCTGGTTCTCCTGGTATAGCCGAAAAGTCACTGTCGAAAGAAGAGCCATTACTATCTCCTGCAGAAGTTTCCTGCCCACCACTAGGAAAACCATCCGACGAGCTCTGCCCTCTATTCGGATATTTATCAGATGGAGTCTGTACTCCACTTGGGAATCCTCCTGACGATCCTTGTCCTTCACTTGGTATACCTCTTGATGGTCCTTGTCCTTCATTTGGGATACCTCTTGATGGTCCCTGTTGTCCACCTGGTTGTCCTCCTGATGGTCCTTGTTGTCCACTAGGATATCCTCCTGATGGTCTTTGGGGTCCACTTGGGTATCCTTCCGATGGCGTTTGTGCTCCACCTGGTTGTCCTCCTGACGGCCTTTGAGGCCCACTCGGGTATCCTCCTACTGGTATTTGTCCACCACTTGGGTATCCGCTTGATGGTCTTTGGGAACCACTGGGATATCCTCCAGCTGGTCTTTGAGGACCACTGGGATATCCTCCTGTTGGTGTCTGTGCTCCACCACTTGGGTATCCGACTGATGGTTTTTGAGCTCCACTTGGATATCCTCCTGATGGTCTTTGTTGCCCACTGGGATATCCTCCTGTTGGTGTCTGTGCTCCACCACTTGGGTATCCGACTGATGGTTTTTGAGCCCCACTTGGATATCCTCCTGATGGTCTTTGTTGCTCACTGGGATATCCTCCTGATGGTCCTTGTTGCCCACTGGGATATCCTCCTGATGGTCCTTGTTGCCCACTGGGATATCCTCCTGATGGTCCTTGTGATCCACTTGGGTATCCTTCCGATGGCGTTTGTGCTCCACCTGGTTGTCCTCCTGACGGCCTTTGAGGCCCACTCGGATATCCTCCTACTGGTGTTTGTCCACCACTTGGGTAACCGCCTGATGGTCCCTGCGGTCCACTAGGATATCCGCCTGATGGTCCCTGTTGTCCACTTGGTTGTCCTCCTGATGGTTCTTGTTGTCCACTAGGATATCCGTTTGATGGTCCCTGCGGTCCACTAGGATAACCTCCTGATGGTGTCTGTGCTCCACCTGGTTGTCTTCCTGGTGGTCTCTGTTGCGCACCAGGATATCCTACTGATGGTCTTTGGGGTCCACTTGGGTATCCTTCCGATGGTGTTTGTGCTCCACCTGGTTGTCCTTCTGATGGCCCTTGCGGTTCACTGGGATATCCGCCTGATGGCCTTTGTAGTCCACTCGGATATCCTTCCGAAGGTCTTTGAGGCCCACTCGGGTAACCTCCTGCTGGCGTTTGTGCTCCACCCGGGTATCCGCCTGATGGTTTTTGAGGTCCACCTGGATATCCTCCTGATGGTCTTTGTGATCCATTCGGATAACCTTCTGATGGTGTTTCTATTCCACCGGGGAATCCTCCTGTTGGTCTTTGCGGTTTACTCGAATATCCTCCTGATGGAGTCTGTCCGTCACTGGGAAAGCCAATGCTGGGTCTACCACTTGGATATCCTTCCGGTCGACTATGTCCACTACTAGGTAATCCCCCAACTGGTCCTTGATTACTATATTCGTTGGATGGACTTTGGCCATGAGAACTTGGATATCCAATAGATGGCCCCCGGCCGTTACTTGGATAACCACTGGACGGTCTCTGTCCACTTGAAGGATATCTTGAAGATGGACTTTGTCCACCGTTAGGTCTTTGCGAAGGTCCTTGAGGGCCTGAGCCTACGGATAAAATAAAAATACATTATATCTTTTTTATAAAATTGTTAAAATCTACAAAGAAAAACTAATAAAGTCTTAGAAATTACTTGGATATCCGGTAAAAGGACCCTCTGTTTCTTGAGGTGGAGCTGGACCAGGATATTCTTCGTCTGCGGCATTGTAAATTTAATATTCTTTTTAATTATTAAAATCCTTAAATTCACATGAACATAATGAAGTAATATAATGTAACACCGTAAATAATATAGTATTTTTATCAATAAAATATTATTTCTATTATATCATTATATATATATATATATTTATAAATTGATTTTGAAACATTAATATGAATATAATAATATGTATTCATAAATTATTTACTTAATTCATGGCAACTATAATAATCAATGGTTAATCATTATGAAATCTTATTAATATTGTACATATTTAACTGATTACCTGGATAATTATTTGGAGATGGTCTTTTGCTTTCACTTGGGAAGCGTGATGTGGCAGGAATTGATGGTTTAGGTAAGCCAGGGGCAGCAGGTTTCGATCCAATTTCAGGAGGAGGATAAAGTCCGTTTGGTGGTCTTATTTTATCTCTGGCTGGAGATCCTGTACCTAATGACGATGAGTAATCTTTGTTTGTGAATTGTCCATGTTATTGTGCTTCTTTATTAGATGTAATTAGGGTTGATTAAAATTGATTGATCATACGTTCACTGGTGTAGCCTCCTGGAAATTGACCGCCGCTTGATCCTACTGAAGATCCAATTGATGGTCTCTGAGGACCTTGTTCAGTACCAGGAATTTGATTAGGATTGGGATATCTCCCACTCGATCCTCCACTTGGATTTGGGCTAGGAGGTCGTTGTTGGGCTCCTGGGGTTTTGCCACTACTAGGAAAATCATCGCTTGGTCGTCCTCCTTAATAATATTTATTTGATATGATTTTTTTCAAGTAATTTTACTCCGCAAGAAAGTATTTGCTGTACTTTCGAGAAATTAGAAGTACAATTTTAATTCTGTTTATAGCTTTTTATGAAAGTAACATTTTGAAAATATCATATTGAATTTTAAGATTGTTAATTAAGATGTTGATTCGGATAAAAGTCGCGTAGTAAGATCATAAAATTCATTGCAAAGGCAGACTTTTATATAAAATCCTACCATAAAGGATACAATGGCTATAAAGGAACTCATTCTCGTATCGAAAATATTTATTACTATTTTGAACAAGAACAATATAATAACATTCAGATTTAGCAAAATTTTCAGCAAAAGTAGTTAGGAATTTATTTCTTCGAAACAACAGTAATGAAAGATCGGTAACGTAATGGGAAACAATTGAAAGAAAAAAATATTGCCTCAGCAGCCTTACGCGAGCTTATTATGTACTTTTCAAACAATTGTAACTATGCTCGCAAGATTATGCATATCTCAGTAAAAGGCAATAGTCATCGAAATATTAGTATTAAAAAAAAAAAAAAAAAAAAAAAAAAAAAAAAAAAAAAAAAAAAAAAAAAAAAAAAAATGGTGGCACTAATAAATATAAAATATATCCAAGTCTGAATTCGGCATTTTACCAAAGAGCTTAATTCATAGTACTTTTGTTGGGGCCATAATAATAATGGTAAACTTATCAAAGGATAACGGTATTGATGATAACAATATAGATGACATAGATAATTAATTATAGATTATTTGCAGATAGTTTTCATCTATAAAAATTTTCCAACTTACAAAAATTCGATTAGTAATAGTTTGCTCCACTGATACGATTGTTAAAAATCTACTAAATTTATATTGAAAGTTGTATTAAAATGATTGGTTGTTAACGAAACTTTATGTTTCATTAAACAAAAAATATGATGTAATTACATAATTTTTGAAAGACTACTATGAATTATGCAATATATAATGATCATGAAACTATAACTGCAAATATAACTGTCAATTTATTAACTAAATTATAACCTTGAATATGCATTAAGAATATCCTTTTTTTTTTAAATATATATAACTATTAAACAATTAGTTGTCGAGAATATTTGGAAAAGTATTAAAGATATTTGTAAAATATTTCTTATCATTATTTTAGATAAAAAAAAAAAAAAAAAAACAATTGTATGTGCCATAATATGATGAAAATAATTCTAATTGTAAACGTAATGGAGTAATTTTGAAAAGAATACTATAAGGAAGAATAAAGGAAGCTGTTATTATTTTCAATGTTATTCTTATCACGCACATTAATGTGGCAATTCAACTTACTATTTATTATTACTATATATTATTATTTAAAAAGATAGTATAGGTAACACATTTTTCAATAAAATTCAATCTATCGTAAATGAGAAATTTGTTTACCTGGGTATCCACCGCTGTTTGGTCCCTCTAATTCGTTTCCAGGTTTACGACCTCCAGTCGTGTAACCTCCAGGACTATGTCCTGAACCCTGCTTATTACTTGGATACCCTTCGTTGGAAAACTGTCGGTCGGGTTGCAAATTCGATCCGCCTATTTCCGAAGTGGGACGAAAATTGCCACCCGGGCGACTTCCGGGTCGTTGAGAATAATTGGGTGCCGGAAGTTCGAGTGGATTTTCTGGTCTACCACTAGGATAACCTTCGTGAGATGGAGTGAGCGTCTTTTCACCAGGACTAGGCTTTCCGGACGGTAAATTCGTCGAAGGTCTTCGCTCATTGCCACTAGGCCTTCCAGAAACTTTATTATTGCCGGAGGGATAGCCATGTTCGCTTGGAGATTTTTCATCATCACCAGATGGAAAAATATTATTACCCGAAGGTCTTTGCCCTCTCGGGCCACCAGAAGGATATCCGCTTTCACTCGACGGCCTTTGTCCATTCGTGATTTCCGAAGGATATCCATTTCGAATCGATGGTTGATTATTCGATGGATAGCCATCGCTACTCGGCGGTCTTTGACCATTTACAGGTCTAGAAGGATATCCATTTCCTCTGTTAGATGACGGTCCACTAGGGAAGCTACCTGGACCTTCCGATGGGTAACCTCCGGTAGATTTAACTCCGGATATTGGTGATGGGGTCTCGGAAGGATAGTCGTTCGAAGGTTTTTTAGTAAAACCACTTGGACCTACGGGTCTCGAGGTAATTCCACCTGAGCCTGGTCTGTCCGAATTTAGAGGATTATCTGGTCGGGGATAGTTGTAGCCCTCTTCAGCCTGATGAATAAATTTTTTAATTATTAAGTAATTCTTAAATGTCGTTGTCGGGTTTCGCAACAAATAAGCAATCTCGTTGCATTTATCATAAATCCGTACTAATTTTAACAAGTTCAATAATCTACAATTTGCTAACAATGGATATTTATATCGTGTGCATTAGATTTCATTAGCATCCCTTTAATATTTTATCAATTTCGGGGTTATGACTAATAGTGAATAATTAATGAGCATGCAACAATGTAATATACCCATAATGTAATAATAATAATAATAATAATAATAATAATAACATTCGAATTTAGTAAGTGAAAACTTCTGTTAATGTTGCATAAAGCCGACGATAATATGAGCATTAAAATAAGGAATAATATGAATAAAATGAATAATATTTATTGTCTATATTAGCGTTCTTTGTTTTGTTGATAGGATACATTATATTATGAAAAATGAAAAAATAAGTTATTTCTATATTCATGATATTGCATGCAGATGACATTTAATTCACAGCACAGAGTGCTTATGCAAAGTACGTGAATTGCTTTTCTCCGAGGTCAAAGTAAGCACGAGCGAGAAAGTAGAAAAGAAAGAGAGTGTAAGAGGTGTGCGATGCTTTATTCAGTATATTCTGGTGACCGTTTAAAAGAGATTGCATCATGCTCTACAGGAACATTCGCGAAGCGATCGCAGGATTCGTAATAAGATGCGCATCATCCAACGTATTCGAGGTTACGCAACGTTTGCTACTAATGTTATCGATATCTTTCAGGAAGACGAATCATAGGATACCCTTTGTGAATACGAACGTTCTTATAAAGTGCGCTTGATCGTTGTACTAATATCCTGAATTCCAAAAAACATTTCGAATATATTCGGAAGGTTTATACGGTATATACGTGAATTGGTGTTAAATAGTTTACCTACAACATCATACAATAATCAATATCTAGAATTAATACATTTTAAAATAAAACTTACCGAATATCTTTGTAAAAAAAGTATTTATTATTATTATTATTATTATTATTATTATTATTATAATTAATATAGGCTGCGAATAGTTATCATCGTGGCTTTGCAATTGCATTACACATAATGCATAAGTGAAAACTCCAGACCTTTCCGATAATTCTTTCAAATTATATATCGTATGCCTTTCTAGATTTACGAATAATGCTTTATAATGTTCGCAGACTTTAAGAAATTAACAATCTTGCTGAATGAAAAATGGTATTTTGTCGTAAATTTTCTTGAACGAAAAGCAGACAAAAGGAGAATCGTATATAATTATATCATAATGCTTATCTTGTCACGATTAAACCGAAAATATCGTTAAAAGCTGAAATTGTGAGTAAAAGCTAAGTACAATGCCTGGCTGACCTTTAAAGTCCCATAACATTCGGATGCAAAAGACTTAAGGAGTAAATTGCAGCAGAATAGCACAGCGTAAGACTTGACGATCTGGATAGAGATTCATAAGAAAAAAGTAAACTTACCAATGTTGTGCGGGAGATAGCCAGCACAGCTGAAACAAAAGAAAAAACAGATGAAGAGAGAGAGAGAGAGAGAGAGAGAGACGAGACGAGAGACGAGAGACGAGACGAGACGAGAGAGAGATAAAAGTTGGCACGTGCACGCACACGATCTCTGCATGCTCGGCAACTTGCGCAAGAGCGAGAAACAAATACAATGATTCGTAAGATTGGTAAGTGAGCTAATGCAAGTGGCCCCGGTGCGCGACGTCTAAAAAAAATTCAGATTTAAGTTCTTAGCTGATGCTCCTCGTATGTGAGAACACGAATGTGCGGCTGCAATGCTCGCCCCCCCCCCCCCCAATTAATTAATTAGCAGCCGGGAAGTTATGTCAGAGATTTTTTAAATTATTTTACTCTCCCGCCGTCGAGGCGCGAGAATTTCACACGCGTGTGCGCGTCCTGCGTTTTTCTCGTATATTTATCGCGCGGCATAATATTCTGTATTGCGCGTGCGTACATCAGATGAGTGATTAATTTTGTTTTCTATTCCCTTCTTCGTTTCATGTACGATCGCCTTCGTGTTCGCTCAAATTGCACGATTGTTCATCGAGAATAGAAAGAATAGTTTAAAGCCGAGTGACGCGTGAAAAAGAATTTTTTATATTCTAATATTAACGCAAATATTCCGTAGAAAATCAATTGGTCGTTTATTTCGAGAATTTCAAACACATAGACGAGGCATTCTAACTCTACAGCGTCTAGAATGTTAAATTATCCTACTGTAATAACTTGCTCCATATAATTATAATTATATTGTTTGTATGATAATATTTGATCGAGGAGATTTTTCAGCTGCTTCGCAATACATTGGGTAAATTGTTATTTAATCTAATGCAATGACTCTGCAACAAACAATATTATAACGATATTGTTCTATTAAACAGATGTATAGCGATATTATGACTATGAATATATATATATATATGCGTAATAAAATATTGGAAGAATTGTCAAAACAATGAATTTTATAATATACTCGTCCTATAAAAATTTGCACTCTGAAAATAATTATTTACCCAATAGTATTTGATTATTATTATCGAATACAGAATACAGAATTATTTATTGCACTTGCTGTATGAATCAAATTTCGCCTTTAATTATTTATTAATTAAATTCTAAACGATAAGCTATTGTAATAAGTAGCTAGACACTTTATTTTGCAAAATGTAAAAATTTTACTATTTCATGTGGGATGCCGAAAATAAAATTCACGTATTAAAGCTGAAAAATATTTGATAATAAAATTGTCTAAAATGTTGCTCGAAAAGTATCTACAATTTACATTGATAAGAATAAAAATCTCGATAGAAACTTATTAAAGTCAATTTTGCATATTACATTGCGCAATTCGTTACATAAACCGCCAGCATTTTACAATCCTTTGAATTATAGTATTTCTCCGCAAATTTTCTATCCCCATCGCGTAAATTATATATAAATTAACTATTTCACACGGGCATGTAAATACTTATATCATTATAAGTTTCTTCGAAATTCTCTCGTTTCGCATTCCATTTGTATAGAGACTATTGCTCACGCGAAAGCCATAATACCCGAGAGTTTCCTTAACCAATTCGATGCATTCGATGCAAAAAAAAAAAAAAAAAACAACAACAACAACATAATAATCATACCATGGAGAAAAGTGGCCCAATTCAACATTAACGGAATAATTAGTTCTCGAAATAGTTACCCAACGACGACGAATATCGGCGCAGAAAAATCACGGACAATCGGCTGCTTAAATCTACGCAGCGGACCCGTAAATTAGTAAACGGGACAGAGCTTCTGAAATAATTGCGTCAGAGATCGCAGTGCGGGCGCGCACAAATACGCCTGCATACACTTGACCTTTATTTCCAGTCGCGCGATCATCCTCTTAAAGTCGAAAGACTCCGTGGAGAGGAGAGCAGAATAAGCGCAAGACTGAGAAATACGCTGGGCAGCAATCGCGCGGAGTCGCGCGGGGTTTTGGCGGGTAGCGGGGCGGGGATGTGGAGTGCACGAGGGTGATAGGGGGGGCCTATCTGGGCGAAAAACCTTCCCAAACAATACCCAACGAAGTGACTGTGCGTGGAACTTATCTTCTATTTATTTTAATTAGGGAGGAAGTTACGAAAAGTTGCCGTGCTAATCACGTACCACTCGGGGGGTCCACGAAAATTTCGGTCTTGTACATCCTCGCGTGCACTATTACGCAATCGTCTACCGCTCTACCTTGTACAACTTATACAGTGTGTGCGTCTGTTGGTTTTTTTTTTGTCTTCTTCTTCTTCTTCTTCTTCTTTTCCTTTATTTCCACCACTTTTCGCACTGACACGCTTTTTTTCACGCGATTAATGAATACGCGAGTGCTTACAGCACGAGGATCTAGTTATAGGATCTGTTCATTGTTTTGGAAGATTCAGGACTGTTTTTTTTTTTCTTTTTTTTTTAAATGAACGATTTCGCAGAACGCGCAGATGGCTTTGTATGATTTAGATCGAGGTTGATACTAAAATCCTCAAAATTCTTTGAACCTTGATATATATTCATTTTAGAAATACGCGGAGAAGGGCGAGTGTTTTGATCAGCGCACCGCGGAGGTGGAGAAATTTTTCTCAATTGTACGCTACACTTGAGAAACGGATGATTGTACTTTTTTTCTTATGCGACTTATTTCATATGATAAATATCAGCTACCACGTATTTATCCTACAATTTTTATAGAACATTAAATTTAAATGTATTTTAATGAAATTTTATATGTATTTGTATGCTCCTTAAATTGCGTATTGACCTCTCCATAGGTTTACGAGGATCTCTTACATGTCATTTCAATCAAACTTTTTATTTATTTCTTCATTATCGTTAAATTAAATATTTTATTACTATGTAATGACAAATGACATATGCATGTACTTTAGATCATCGTAAAATTCGACTAGGAAATCATATATTATTTTATATTTTATAAATTCGTCGAGTTTATAAATTTCAATTTTCTAATTATATAAAACCGAGTCATTTTATATGATATTCAGCTTTCTTAAATATTATAATTTCTAGATATAATGAATAAAGGGATGGTCGTTCCATCTTTTCTGTTTCATCGAAACATATGACATTTCAATTAATTAATTAATACAACTTTTTACAATAATTATTTGCATTAGAAAAAAAAAAAAAAAAAAAAAAAGTAGCCAACAGCAATTTTCATTTTTTATGAATTTTTTAATTTACGATACGCAAATTATTATACAAAATTTTATTATATAATTACATTGTTTGCGATTTCTAATTTATAAAACGAAAGTCTATTTAAATTCTATATTATAGTATGCCGTAAGAACTTTACTATACATAATATACGTAAAAATATATTAATATCCACAATTATTTAGCGCTGCGTAGTTAAAGAAAATAAATCTACAGCTATCTTTTCATAACTATACTCACAATTTAAATTTTAATTGTTTTTTTTATTATTTAATGTTAAATATTATGTCTTTGGAGTATCTGCGTAGAAATGAATCCAAGAATGCAATCTTTTCCTTTCAGTCGGTCCTTCAATCAGCATATACGTAATTATTTCAAAATTTCTAATAATTTGTCAAATATTACTTTTAATCATATATTAGAAAAAGTAAAAAAAAATCATTTATTTCAATTTTTATGCAACTATACCTTCATTATCTATAACGATAAATTGTATTTAACATCTTAGCTTTTATATGCTGTGGAAAAATAAATTTGAAATTAAAAATTAAGCTATTTAAGGACACGAGTATAATATTGTTCTAATATAAATTACAATATCATTGATTAAGCTTTTGTAATACTTAGTGCGCTAAACTATATAGAAAATATAAACGAGAGAGAAGAGAAGAAAGGACTTTGCTTATATAAAGCAATAATTAATAATTGTAGATTATTGAGTAACATTCATCTGAAAAATCCAGTTTAATTAAGCGCAGCGAAACATCGTATATTAATTCAATGTTGTAATACACCGGGACCTTCACTTCTTGAAGATTCATTATGTGTTTAAATTAACTAACCTTCGAAAATCCACTCGATCCAAGTTCTGATTTTCCTCTTCTAACTTTACCGCTCTAAATTATAATTGAGCTTCCAATTGATAGAGAATTAAAATTTTCACGATCAAAATTGCCTTCCCTTCAAATTCCTATTTGCTTTGTAAAGAACAATATATCGATGTGCGCAATTATTTCTCAATGAGTACGGTACCCGTTAAAAGAGCTTTCCATCCTTATCTGACCGGAGAGTGCACGTACCGAGTCGAAGGCTGTAGGCTTAGCGGCTCAGGTAAATAAAGAGAGAAGTAAAAAAAAAAATTTAACCATTTAAAAGGCGAGGCGAAAAAATGTCGGATCATCCGCTACTCCTTAGACTTAGACGCGTCTGCTTACGATTGTAAAACTGGACACAACTATCGTTTAATCAAACGTTGAGATAAATTTTACATTAGCGCGAGTCGTGCGGCTATTTACATTGATAAAAACTTGTAGAAAATGCTCGTTTCTATTTTAATTTTTATTTCGAGGTTTCAATGTAAAAAGCTATTATTATTTAAATTATATTCCTTTATTGTGTTTATTTCGTTTTTCATTCTAGAAAATTCAGTATCTTGCCAAGTTTCCTTAATCAAAGTAAAAAAGCAATCATCAATAATTCTATACGATAAGAATTATATATATATATAAAAAAAAAAAAAAAAAAAAAAAAAAAAAAAAAAAAAAAAAAAAAAAAAGACAATCAACTTTACTCGATAAGTCGAAAGTCTTTGGTATTAAGATAATGACCACATGTATGACAATAATATTTATCAAGCATTTTTCTGTATTTTTACAAGAATGTGTTATAATTGAAAAATTCTATTATATGAATTATCGTCCAGATTAATAATAGACAATGGAGTTTCATTGTCGTAAATAATTATTTGAGAGAAAAAGCCTTGATTACTTTACCACTTTTTTCTTTTTATAAGGCATTTACATTTACTCTCGTTTTATAAGTCAAAACGGTAGAGAATACGTAATTACGCGATTAATCGTAAGAATAATTGAATAATTATATATGAGCTTCAAAATTTAATAATTAAAAGAAGAAGAAGAAAAAAATCTCAACCGTGCCAATGAAGTGAAAAGATATCGATTATTTTGCCTTCGTTAACCCACGATAGCAGCAATCGAAGAGACGTTCGTCTCAAAATATCGTTACGCTTAATAAAAATATTGCAGTTAACTTACCTGTCATCAACAACAAACTTAACCTCATGTTTATTGTCGCCGACACTTTCCTCAAAGCTTAGGTCTGCAATAGAAGAAGAAGAAAACCTTTGTTTTAGTTTATTATAATCGCGCGGTTATGATCGATCGGATGTCCGTAGGATCACGGCATTGACAGTCGGAGCTTCTCCCACGTCGCCCCTCTCTCCGCCCATCGCGCTATCTCTTCCTGCCGCGAGAGAAAAGCTGTAATCCGCAACACGATAACAATGACAGGCCGTCCTTTAATATTGCGGGGAGATTTTCAATTCTCGTTTCTCTTTGACGTTGCGCCGAGCGTCACGCGGTGCGTTCAACGATCGTCCGATCCCTATCAAAGCCAGCCGCGCTTCCTCTTTACGCGCATCAACGTTCAACCGAGCACAGAGTTTTATTATCGTAAGTATCCGATCATGTCACTGATAAGCTTTCAATCTCATTTTTCTGCTCATGTAAGTACAATGAAATTGGGAAACGATTGCCACGATTGAAACGAGGCTACGATAATGACAGTGACATCCTGATATTTACTGAAATCTCTCGAATTGATGAAACGATAGCGTATTGGCGAATAATCGCAATGGAATTTCGAAAAAAATTAATATCCGTTTATTAGGGTCTTTTAATGTGCGGCACTCGATTAGGGCAATATTATAGTGAAAAATAAATTATACTTATCCTTGGCGTTGAGCGCTTGCGAGCGAAAAATTATAAAGGTACTCTTGCAAATTTATTTACTGTCAGGTAATAATTACGTTTAAGTACGAACGCGGAGAATGCTTGCACAAAAAATTCGCTTCTTATGAAAATTCGGAAATGCAGATAATAACAAATTGAAGCACTCGAGAGAACGATGGGACGCACGGGCCATCGTAAAACATTAATGATCGAAAGCCGAGCGATACGATAGAAAAAGTAAAAGAATAATGGATAAAAGGAACGGAAAGAGGGAGGGAACGAATAAAGGCGGATGGGAGGAGATGTCAATGTAAGAGAGTGGAGGGCGTTGAGAGGCGCACTTGACGGAACCGCGTGACATCTTCTGGTTAACGGTGATCGCAAAAGCTCCGATGTCGCCATGTTGGAGCACGATAAGTGTATCCTCACACTCACCCAACCGATCCCCGAGGGCTTTCGGGCTGAGAACGACACTGTGCGACGATGGGGTCTAGCGTTCTGTGGATAAGCCAGACAGTTGACTGATGGTGGAGGTGTCGTTCTGATCATATATAGGCCCTCTGGTTAAGCCGCGCACCCCACGGACAAACACACGGCTAGAAAGAGAGGCTAGACAACGAGATGAGTGAGTGAGACGAGCGAATGTAGGCGCTTCTTCTTTCTCTCCACCTCCCACCTCCCCATCTCCCCCTTAACCATCCATCCCCCTCCTGTTCTCCAACGCGACACACACGGCACGAAACGCACACGTGTCTGCGAATACACGGATGTTTGTTGGTCGTGTCATTGGTAGTGTAGTCGGGGATGATCATGATGATGACTCCACTCCTTCTCTCTCTCTCTCTCTCTCTCTCTCTCTCTCTCCCTCTCTCTCTCTCTCTCTCTCCACTTCATGATCGTCCTTCGTCCACCGGATCGAGAAAGATAACTATGTTCCCCCCGCCCCTTGCCCCTCACCGCTGCCACCTCTTCAGCACTCGTCGTCGTCGTCGTCGTCGTCGTCGTCGTCGTCGTCGTCGTCGTCCTCCTCCTCTTCCTCCTCCTCCTCCTTCTCCTCGTCCACCGCCGCCGCCGCCGCCGCCACCGCCGCCGCCACCGCCGCCACCACCGCCACCTTCTAAAGTAAGTCCTCCATCTCCCTCGTATATTCTTATTCCTTTTTTCCTTGGCGTCACTTGGCGGCAGCCCCTACTCCTACGCTCGCCTTTTTGTGCTCGCGAGGCGATAGAGGTGGTAAAGGTATGAACCCGCGTTATGTGTTTGTTGAGAGCCGATGCAAGTGTAGGGTGGGGGGTCAGTTGAAAAAATGCCGCCCGTTTACATTTTACTATTTCGTAGTATTAATTAGATGAGTGCTATCGAATACTAAGTGAATTGATTAATTTTATGTAAAATCGATTAAGCAATTCGTGCCGAAGGGTTAAAATGGTAATTTAATGGAAATATCTGCTACCGGATGGCCAATAGTTAACAACAAACACATTTGTTACTTTTCTCTATTTTTCTTACCATCTTAATAATACTAAAAGTCTTTTATTATTATTATTATTATTTTTTAATAATCGAATATATGCAATAAATAAATAATCCTCGAGAGTGATCCGTTTCATACGCCGCTATTACCAAATTATCAAGGCTTTCATATTTTTTAAAACGAAATGGAAATTTAAGCAATAGCTCATAATGTTGTCATACGTTCGAATTAAATATCAACGAAATAGTGGAAAAGCCTAATAAATCTTATGAGCACGACAGAAAATTAACTTTAGTAATCAAAAGATTTCGCGATAGATAGGGCGGCAAAGACAGGGATTGATTGGACAAGTCGATGGTTAGGTAAAGGGAGGGAGAGTGAGAGAGAGAGAGAGAGAGAGAGAGAGAGAGAGAGCGACACAGACACGCGTGAAAATAGGCAAAGAGGTGATGGCGCGGATGAAGAGAGGAGGAAAGAGTATTTCGAATAAAAGGAGCGAGCATGAGCAGGAGTATGATTGGAGGAGGGGGAATAATAAATCGCGAGGAACGACCTCACGGCTGCGATGTAAGTGACCCGCTAATGTCGGAGCAGCAGAGGGGGAGAAACGGAATGCCTCCGGGAGATGAGTCTCGCTTGTGGGAGGCAGTCGAGGGCTCAGTGAAAGTAAAATGCCCGGCGCAAGTGGAGTGACGTCTCCTCGACCGCAGTCGCGATAACGGACCGCCAGAGGATGACTCGCTTGAGCCGCAACGTCCGATAAATTTGTCGGGCGCGCGGCTCGAGGAGCCACGAGGAAAGTGCTCCTGCCTCAATTTCTTTTAATTGTACAGTTTCAGAGTGCTAACCAGTGGCATTTGCGGAGTGAGCTGCGGGCCAAGTTAATGTTGTTCGTCTTGCGCGAGGAGTAGAGGTAGGCGCGCGGGAAGACGATCGGCGAATGATGAAAAGATTTCACGGCACTGAGATTTTCAAGAGCCACAGTTGCATTTACATGGGAATTTCTCCCCCGTGGCTTCTCCATACCTTTGTTTGGTCAATGAGGCCATAAATCTTGCCGTTGAAAAAGTTTATGCACCGGCGATCGCGACCTTTTTTAATTCTCTTAACGTAGTGAAACGAATTAATATATTGGAATCAAATAGCCGATTGTTTATTCGAAGTAAAATTATACGGGAAATTATTATAATTTCTAAATAATGTGAAATCAATTGGGCCCATACATTTTCATTGATATACTTCAATTAACATGTCTGAATAAATTTAACACGAATTTTATAACAATTTTGTCAATGCTTTAGAAAATTAGCGCTAATCCTTTGCTTGATAATCGCTTAATAATAATTAATATTAGTATTTATTTATTAAAAATAAATTATGTATTATTATGTATACGTTATTATATTATTAATTTATATACTTTAATAATTTAAAAAGTTTTCAATTCATTTCATTATGGTTAAAAATAAAAAAAAAGGGTACAAATCACGATATTAATATTGCAAAGAATAGAAAATTATTTGCAATATTATGTATTATTTAAATGCGGATATCTTAAGGATATTAATGACCAATAATATGTATTTTTAAAAATGTTATGTATATATATGTATTTCAATAAAAGAAAAAGCATTCGATTTTTATAGAAAATAAGTTTAACGATATCCTTCGTGGACTGAAATATTGAAAACAATGAAATTGTTGAAATTATTAAGCAGACATTAAATTGAATAAATATTAATTTAACAGCAGTACGACTAAAAGGTTAAAAATAATGTAAAAATTAAAATACATCAAATATTAATGTATTTTAATACCCATCAATTAAATTCTTACGAATTCATAATATTTCTTTCTAAAATTTTGTATTAATTTTTACAAATAATCTAAATAATATAAATAATAATTTTCAATCATATTTGGCTTATTGTACGTAATTTTATTATCATTATTATTAATTTATTATATATATATATATATATATATATATATATATATATATAAACCTACATATAAGGCCGTTATTATTGCATATAGAATTTTATTATTAAATAAGCAGGAAATGATGAGAATATTTTAATAACGTAAAATAAATCTTAATTATGTAAAGAAAATTGTCAATCGCGAATTCAAGCTTTTATAGTATTTTTCAGTTATATAAGCCAAGAGTATATGAAGTATAAATAATTGAGAAGAGATATCTAGAATATCAAATATATATATATAAATTTTTAGTTATGAAAACGAAATAACAAAGTGGGTAGGGAATACGTGTGTTAGATAATAGATAAATCTGTCACAAATCAGTGTCATGAAATTCGAATACTGTAATTATAGTCGTAACAAAGTCAATTTTCTAAATTGATTTTATTGTATAGAAAATGGAAAAAGTATTTTCTTAATATTGAGGATTTTTTACAATTTGTATTACAGGATTTTCGAACGTAAATAAAGATGCTCTATTGACGCGGAAGGTTATCTTTGTAATTTAAAAAATTTTTTTTATTCTTTTTATTGGATTATCAAATATGTGCCTCTGTAATATTAAGGTTTCAAATAATAATTTATGTCAATAAAGTTTTATATATTTCTTTGAAAAATATGAAATAAAAATTTTGTTCATAAATTTATATTTACCATAGAGAAACTAATATTTTACTACTAAATTATGGAATTATGAAATTATGAAATAATTTTAAAATGTATCAAAATTGAAATACTTAATATTTGAAAAATGCAAAAATTTATTAAAATTTATTAATCACTATGATACATAATATTTTAAATATCTTTATTTTCCTTTCAATTGATTAGATTTAAGAGTATAAAATTTACTTGTGTTATTAAAATTATTTGAGCATGCGTAGATTTATTACATAGTAAATTTAAAATGGCATTAAATAACTAATATATTGGGTGTTTATTTACTAAATCATTTCAAAAGTTATCTATACTATTATCTAAATAATAATCATTTAATTAGACACGTAACAAATCATTAGAAATATGTTAATTTTCAAAATATTATGTCATTACATGTATTATAATAAGTCAATAAATATATTATTATGTTAAAGTCTTTTATCAAACGAAACAAATGTAGGAATTAACAATATATATTCGTACATTTTTCATTGTATATTAGTAAGTTTTGAATTTTTAAAAATTATAATAATATAATAATTTTTTAGTTCACAAGCAATTTATCGTATTTTCTCTTTACAATTTTTTAAAATAGAATCTATATTTCATGCATAAATTAAATTAATTTATACATTAAATTAACATAATTTATTAATCGAATATTTCAATTAATATCGTATACGGCAATTGCTTCGTTAACAATATTAATGGGAAAATAAAATATTAATAATTAACGTAGTTAATAATATGAATTAATTTAAATGTTAATTGGATGGAAGATTTTTAAACTAAATTAATATCTATATTGTACATTAGAAGTGTAAGGGTTGAATAGACGTCATTAATCAAATCACATACTAAAAACAGTAGGAAGATTTTTAATTAACATCTACTCAGTTCAAAAGTAGACGCACGTTTTAATCTTTGTATATATATATATATATATATATATATATATATATATATATAACTGCTATTTGTATTGATCTAAAAGTATACGTATAAATAAGCTTTAAAATTGTAAAATAAAGATGCCAAACAAAGTTGATGGATAATGAGAAAATTGTGCGATGTCTATTTCTCAGTCACTTCGATCTATGCACATGAAAGGGCAATAAAATAGATTCGCTTGCTAAACTTTGTGAACGGAAATTAACATATTTGTTATATTAAATTCATCTCTTTTATAACTAAAAATATTTATGCTCCTAATTACGAAATTATCTCCTTCACTAACATTTCTATTGTGCTTACTTACATTATCGTATATTATGTGAGCAGATAGCCAATATATTCTACACTGCTCGAATAAAATATGAAAACTTTAATATTACAAACTACACAAATTAAATCTAATATTTTAATATATATATATATATATATATATATATATATA